GCCCGGGGGGCTCAGGGCGCGGGCAGCCACAGGGAGAAGCGGCTGGGCAACGTGCAAATGTGATCGAGTCAGGGGCCAGGGAAGACCCAGCCTCTCCTGGGGGTGAGTGGGGAAGAGGTGTGTGCCGGAGACTGGAGGTCCACATCTGGGTGTCCCAAGCTGGACAGCACAGGCAGGGGTCTCACACTGCAGTGAGTCCTCCTGCTCCATGGCACCCAAGTTTGTATGGGGGCCACCAGGGCCTTTCACTCAGCCACGTCGATGGGCAGCATGGCCTTGATGGCAGGGAACTTGTTGCAGGAGAAGTCAGCGAGCAGCTGCTTGGTGCCACTCCGGGTGGGCAGGATCTCAAAACGGACCCGGGACCGCTCCTTGGGGCCCAGGGCCGGCACGCTAATGGGGAAGGACATGGTTAGCACCGGTTGGAGATGCACAGAGCTTGGACTGAGCAGACCTTCTGCGACCCCTGGGGCCAGCTCTGAGGGAGGCTGGCAAAGCCCCTGTTACTTTAGCTCCCTCTAGCTGCCTCCCAGGTAGTGACACCCCAACAGGGGAAAGGAGGTGTCCCTCAATCTCCCAAGTATGCTAAGCCCTGAGGGTCAGCTCTTAGCTCTGGTGCCTTGGACTTCCCAGGAGGTCAAGCTTGGTGACCGCCAAACCAAAAGAAAACATGGATCCCAAAGACTGAAGAACTTAAGGCCAGAGGGAGCTCTATTTGCCCTATCCAGGGGCTCTGGGAAGGACCTCCTGCTTGCCACCCGCCATCCTTGCCCTGGCCAGTCAGGCCTGGTACTTACTCGATCTTGAGGTTACCCAGCAGCAGGCCGCTCCCCTCCACCATCAGCACACAGTTATTCACTGGCTGGTCCAAGGGGTTGGAGAAGAGCATCCGCACAATCGCAGGCTTCTTAACATGAGCCTGGTCCATCACCTACGGAGGGGAGGGGCTGCGAGTCAGGACATCTGCCACCCGGCCCTGCTGCCACTTGTGAGGGCTGGGCAGGATGACGTCGAAGGGAGGACCATTCGGTTAGTCCTCCCAAGTGTCAGACAGCGTCCCATCGCCCGGTATGAGAGGACAGTGTGGCAGTCATATCTTCAGAAACCTGGGCTCCCAGGGGCAATGGCTGAGGCACCATGACTGCCCTGCCAAGCTGACAAGCCCCTACCCTAGTTGCAGCCCTGGTGTGCCAGGACAGCCCAGTTCCTCTGTGGACTCTCCAAGGGTCAGGGAAATTTCAGGCTGAATTTAATACTATTATAATTACCTGGGACCTGCTGCTCATTGATCCTGTTTCTTCCCTTAAAGCCTTGAGCCTCCTTCCCTAAGAGGCTCATGGCTGTTGAGTTTGGTGACCACAGGCCCCTGAGGCCCTTCAGACTCAGTTTGTGCCATAGCACAGTCCTCCCCACCCCCCCACTTCAGGCCACTCTTGTCTGGTGACGCCCTGTCAGCCAATGTCCCACTAAACTTCTGTAAGCTTCCCTGGGTGCCATGTTGTGGTCTGGGCAAAGTCCAACACTGCGTCATTGGTCGGGCCAGGGAAGGTGAGCCTGGGTTTGAGGTCAGGAGAGCAGTCCACCGATTCATTTAGAAAGACAGAAGCTCTTGTGCTTCTGACAAGAAGCAGCTGTGACTCTGGGCACACGAGTCATCACCACTTCCTTGTCTGGTAGAGGGAGAGTCATCCCTCTCCTCCTAGAAGGCTCTAAATGGGGAAGAAAACATTTTGGAAATAAAAATGGAAATTGTACAGCTATTGGATTTCTTTACTTCTATCGAGGATCACTGGAATCTGCTGTCTTCATCGGTTCGGTTTCTGCTTTTCTTGTCACTAATCCTCATAGCAAGCATTGCACAGTGACAAAACTGAAGTTCAGACTGATTCATTTACTCGACAAAATTTACACACTAAAAACGGCAGGGCATAACCTGGTTCCAAAGCCTTTACTTTTTCTGTAGGCTACAAATGATTACCTACCAATAATCTGTGGTTAACTGGAGTAGTTCAGCAATCGTGATACGTACTTTCTCCCATGGAACTCACTTAAGCATAAGGTATAATTTGAAGAGAGAAGTATAATGTTATGCTGCTGAAACATAACAAAGCTCTGTAAATGGTGCCATATTTTTCTCATACATTTTGAATTTAACAAGTCCATGGATTTCTTTAGCCTTCTTTCTGTTTATTTTGTTTATTTATTTATTCATTTTTATTTTATTTTTCTGCTTTTTAAAAAGGTTTTTTTTTTAGTTTACTTATGTATTTTATGGGGGGAGTGAGAGAGGGATGGGCACGTGTATGTGCACACATGCCTCTGATGCAGGCTGGCTCGGACAGGGGTGGACCATGGCGTAAAGACCCTGTTGGGAGTGCTTTTCTATCTCTCTCTGTCTTTCTCAGGAAAAAAAAAATACATTTTAAAACATTTTATAAAAAGAAGGTTTGAGGGTATTAGATAAGGGAATATGATGGGAAGAAACTAAGTTCATTTAAATAGCAATCATTTAACACGGGATGTTTTCATAACTGAACTGGCTGCTACCCAGCATCGGTTTCTGGTCTTAGGCATTGGAGTGGGCATTGGCTGTCCTCGGTGTCATCCCTCCATGGTGTCGGATGGGGAGTGTTTCCCGGAAATGTCTTGTGAAGCAGCAGGCTTTACCAGGCAGGGACAAGCATGGACAGACAATAAAAAGTCTCCTCTGCGCAGGGAAGAAGTGAGCCCAGAGCCGATAGCTCTCAGTCCTGCCCCATGGAGGGATTTCTGTTTTACAGATTCTGATTATTTACTAGGCCACTGTGCAGAGTACTGAACTGAGACGGTACTGAACCCGGACAGCAGGAGCACAGCCCCTGTGGAGGTTACAACCAGGTAGGAGATCATGACCAAATAGTTGCACAAATAGAGAAATAATTGCAGCCTGGACAGATGGCGTGAAGGAAGAGGACAGAAGGTCTGAGGTGGACAGCTGGGGCCAGGCCTAATTTGGGCGGATCAGGAAATGACACTGTGTCAGGGAAGTGCTTTATTATCCTGTAATAGAGTTGGGGCAACTGAGACTCAGATGAAGGGACTTGTTTGATGTTGCTGATAAAGGGTGGGACCCAGATACAAGGCCAGGTTTGTTTGGTCACATGGCCCAAGGTCTGACTGCTGTCCCTCTCTGCTGTCCTCAAACTGGCTGACCAGTCACTTGTCCCTTAGCTTCCGAAATGGGAGATCACCCCTGATTCCAAAACACAGTCTGGACTAACCAGGATAATGAAAGTGTGCAGTTGTAGTCTAACTGTGTGGGAGAACTGGGGCCCTGCCTCAGAGCAGGCGCTCAGAGTTCCCCTGATCTCGGTGTGATGTCAGGAGCCCCTGCAGCTAGGGTGTGTCCTGAGGAGGAGCGGGGCCAGGAAAGTCACAATGACCCAGCTTTTCTAGTAATCTGGGACTTGGGGAGCTGCGTGACTGGATGGGAAAAGACCACCACTGTCTAGAGAGCTGGGGCAAGTGATAGATACAGCAAACTCTTGGTTATACCAAGGACAACTCCATCGTCTATGCCCTCCATCTTCCTATCCTGTGCAGCCCTGACCCCTCAGTCCATGCTTCCTGTCTTAGTGCCCTTACTTCTGGGCCGGAGGGTAAGGCCCAAGGGCTGGAGGTGGGGGAGGGCATGGAGTCAGCACAGGTGCTCCCACTAGTGATGATGAAGGGACAGAGTGGCACCAGGGCCTCCAGAGACCTGCAAGCCCCGCATGCCTGGGCTCCAGGGAGAGAGCCTGGGACCAAAACTACAGGCAAAGGCAAGACCTGAGGGGCCAGCAGGGCATATGGTTACGTTGCTGGACTCCCATGTAGCTGACCGCATACCCTGAAGCTGCAGCTTGAAACCCACGCCAGCTTGAAACTCACACCGGCTTGTAACTCACCCAGCTTGTAACTCATGCCGGGTGTGTGTGCATGTGTGCCCAAGACCCCAAGAGGAGATGGAGGAGAAGGGATGCCAGCTTGGCCATGACCCCCCAGGGGGTGATTTCTTGCTTTCTGTCAGTCTCTCCGGTGAGTGCACATGCCCTATAACAAAAATTTCTCTCAAAAACTACAACAACAAAAGCAAGACCTGAGAGCAGAGAAAGCAGCTCTCCCCGACCACTCGGAAGATTCTGTTGCTGGCTGCCGACGTACCAGGGCCTTGGGAAGGGCTTGGGTTGGGAGTCCCAGGGCCTGAGCTCTAGTCCTGGTTCTGGCTGTTTCCTTCTTTCTGGGCCTTGGTTTACAGACGTGAGAAACAACAGGGCATGGGATCAAGGGACTGGGCTCCTGCCAGTCCCGACTCTGCAGCTCTGGACCCAGAGAGTGGAGAGGCGCACAGGCACCCGGCCTGCTGCTGGTGCGCTCTGTGAGCTGGGTGCTGGGCTGTGGCTCTGCAAGGACCCACAGTTCCCTGTGGGCAGGGCCCACACCTGCGCCTCTGTGATTCTCGAGCCTCGCATGGCCCAAGCACTGCAGATGCTCAGTCACTGAGATGGTGGGTGAATGAGCTGCAGAGTCTTTCCAGCCCCTGCCTCTGCTGCTCTCCCAGTGGGTGTAGAACTGGAACCAAAGAAGCTGCCAGGTGAATGTGTCTGCTCACCTCCCAGACAGGGAGCAAGAACGCTAGTTGATCCATCTGGCACAGGCTGGACCTGGCAGGGCGGGTAGGAAAGACCTGCCCTTGTGGTCTGAGAGGGCTGTGGCTCACAGGGCTGGCAGAGCTCTCGGGGGCCAGGCTGGCTGGCGGGCGGAAGCACCCCTTCTACCCTTTTACCTCCAGCGTCAGGGTGGGGTTGTCCAGGATAACGTCGCGCCCCACCACCACCTCGTCCTCGTCGGGGACCTGGCACACGGCTGTGATCCGGATCATGTTGTCCGCCTTTAGGTATTTGTCATACCGAGCGTAGGGGATCTTCACAGGATGCTGTGTTTCTGGAAGGAGATGTGAAGTGAGGGGAACACAGTGGGAAAG